TGGGTTTAAAATCGTGTGCCTGCTCTGATCTTTTGGTAGTAGCTCCCCAGAACACTGGATTGAGAAGAATGTTGACACAGATCCAGGATAAGCAGTGAAAAATTCTGTGGTTGACTTGGCAAAGTCTGCCATGGGCAGGTGTACCACTTTTGTGCAATATGTTTTTAATTTCTGACTCGCACCTTTCTTAAATCTAAAGGTCAGCCCGTTCTCTCTCTGGGAGTATTAAATTCCAAAATTTTCCACTCATTGTTCAGTGAAAGGCGTGTGGGATTGAGAGTTACAAGTCCTGAGTTCAAATTCACTTCTACTACTTAAGTGAAATGGGGTTTATGTATTTACCCTACTACCTGCCTGCCTTGCAGAGACATTGCAAGAACCAAACGAGACAATATATTTGAATTGTCTGCAAACTCAAAAGCAAAATGTAGCCAGAATACATTAAAATAACTGTGATTTATTAGTCTTAAATCTCTTTCAAGCTTCAAGGGATTTTAGTATTGTGAGATGTGATGATCAAGTACCTAAATGCATAAGAACAAAAATTGCCATATCTCATCAGAGCCACAGCTCATTAAACCCAATATCGTCATTGACAGAAAGACTCAAGGTTATGTAGAAGACCTCGGTTATTGTCCTTGATATCAACTTCAAAGGATAATGGCAAAACACAATATGTTCTAATTTCATTTAGTAATCAATTATGACTTTATCTTCCATGCTTTCATCTAACTTTTTAAACAATGTATTTGCATTATCAATGTGTATTTTCTTGTTCTGTATTCTCTGTGCAAAGTTTTACCTTTTCACTTCAAAGCTGTTCATTTTTAGCCTCTTTCAGAGTTCAAGGGAAAGGGATATAGGGATTTATTGTAAGGATTTATGGAGAAGAAAAGAAACCCAGGAATCTGTCCCAGCAGCTGCACTTGCAGGCTTCGTGGAGAATCTGAATATCTTTTTTTGTCTTTCAGAATATTATAAAAAAATAATAGTAACCACTGAGCACTTACCACATGGCAGAGACTGCCCTAAGTACTTTATATAAACGATCCCGTTTAACTGCACAATGCCCTGCCAAGCAGGCTTTATTACTATTTCCACATGTGCAACATGAGACTCAAATAGGCTAAGGAGCTTGCCCAAGGTCATTGAGCTGGTAAGTGGATTTGAACCCAAGGAGTCTAGCCCTGGAATATGTGCTCTTAACTAGTTACTATATTGGCTTTCTTAGGTTATCCAATCAAAAATATTGCTCCTTACTCTCCTTATGCTGCCAAACAGTGA